GAAACTCCTGAAGTGTTTCCACTTTTGTGTGCCGTATGCATCAGACGTTCAGCCAACGGTCCGAGGGCGTGACGTCTGAGGCTGAGACTAGCATCACCGTAACAATCCCTCACTCATGATCCTGTCACTGACACCAAGACAACCTCTTACCTAAGTTCTCCCATTGTGACTCCATCGTCATGACAACCCCTGATCCTGACCCCATCACCTTGGCAACCTCTTATCACTGCTCTCTCATCTTAACCCCTTACAGTTTTTTTTTCAAGTTTAACATATAACATCATTTTTTCAGACATCTTGCTACAACTTTTCACTGTGATTGTACTTTATGTACAATAGTTTATTATTAGCTTTTCGAATCTTTTTAAATCTTTAGAACACAAAATGAACAGCCATTTGAACATTCATGTGTTTAAATCACCACCTTAACTGGCTTAAAAAGTGTTTTGAGACATGGCAGAGCTGTCCAGGAGCAGAATAACCCGCTCATAGCTGTGTGGACTCAGTGGTTTGTTTGTGACTGGTGGACAGTAACGAAGTAGTTTTACGTCGTTACTGTACTTAAGTACATTTTTCAAGTATCTGTACTTTACTGGAGTAGTTTTATTTTGAGTAACTTTTACTTCACTACATTTCATAAAACTTCTCATTACTCCTTATAATATATCACGTGCTCCGAGACGCAGAAGCTTCAGGTTCAGAAAATTCATGAACTTTGTTAATGTTAACAACATCAGCATTGCGTGACTATGAGTATAGTGTGTATTAGCGTGTATATTTCAATTTCTGTACAGTCTAATCGTCATACCATTCGAATTTCATATTAAGAAAACTGGTTGTCTTTAAAATACAAATCTTGTTTAATCCCAGGCTATCTGTAATCAGAAGCACATTTAAAACTGGAATATAACTTAATTTCATTCACGTGTGTTTCATATAATCCTTTCTGGATTACAATCCGCCATCAAAATAATTTTTTGACATTTAATTTTTCTAGCTGCTGTGAGAAAAGGCTAACGATCGGCCACCTGCAGGATCCTCACATGCGATAGCCTAGCAGCCGGGACAACTTCTTTATGTTTACAGAAGTGACGTAATGACGCACTTTAATCTGAAAGTGGAAGATTTACTAGTGGAGCATATATCGCCTTACTCATTCAGCAATTGCTAATAAAAACATTTATTGAATTAGCTAGTTATGGTTAGTTAAGTTTACACTACTAAAAATATTTAAGTTGAGATTATATGATCATTTTAAGTGTAAAAATTTTAAATGTACGAGATAGCATACTAACTCATAAGAGCGATTAACATGTAAAATAAAAATCTGCCAGTTCTGCTTAATTCAACTTTGCATTTCTTAATTTAATTTTGTTTTTGATGCAACTGATTACGCTGTTCTCTCGAGTCGACAACTCACTGATTCAAATGATCCGTTTAGTGCGAGTCTCCAGTGAACTGAATTCACAATTAAGAACCGGGAGATCTTGTGAGCGCGCGCGAGGCGATAGTTTTGAACACTGGCTGGTTATGTACTTGCTCAAATATTGATTTTGGATAAGTTTTAACCAAAAAAAGTTACGGACTGCAGCTTTAAATAAAATAACTCATGCACGTTCATCTTCCCCACTGCTGTAAAGTTAGCAGTTTTACTAAAATGCTATGCATTTATCCCTATGTGACGTTGGTTTAAGCCCACTGAAATGCTTGAATGCAGACACATTAACATCAGAATCTCTATGTTTTAGGTAAAAAAAAAACATTAAAATAACACATTATTAAAGCTGCAGTCCGTAACTTTTGCCTATGTATCTGGATCAACTAGCCGAGTAGACAAATATAAATGTTTATTCATAACCATGCTGAAAATAAATCAATAATCAATAATAAGTCTAGCTAACGAGCTTGCTGGTGCTAAATTGAGGTAATTTTTAAAAAATAAAGTCCAAATATTTTTATGCAACCACCTGGATAGATTACATCTAAGGGAAAAAGAAAGGATGTGATGTGGAGAACATGGTAACTACAGTAATTATCAAAGTGGGAAGTGATGCCCTCGGGGGGCATTTGGCCAGGGGTGTTTTTACACCACAGACAAGGTTTGAGAAGAAAAAAATCATTATGAAAATATAATGATATTTTCCTTATTATATTCATTATTTCCTTATTGGTTATTTTGGGGAAATCCCAGGTATTTTGAGCATTAGGATTATAAAAAAATATATATGCTAATATAAAATTAAATGATACAAGTAGCCTATATAAAACTGCAAAATAAACAATCATCTATCGGTACTTTTTACTTAAGTACATAAAAAATCAAGTACTTTTGTACTTTCACTCAATTGAAAACTGATTACTTTTACTAGAGTAATATGTTATTATACGGATCTGTACTTTTACTCAAGTACTTGATTTGTGTACTTCGTCACGATGATTATATGCTGTGAGTGGTTTTGGTTCCTGGTTCGTTGCCTCTGGTCACTGAACACTCCACCGTTTTAATAACTAGCCATGTAGTTCACAGTCAGAGCAGAAGGGGGCGCACAAGTACTGCAGACAGGGACCATAGTCTTCTATTGCTTTTTTGCATGAACTATAACAACAACAGATCTACTTTTATTATCATAGGTAAAGTAATAAATTGCATGAGTCATATGGACTATTTTAGGGTGCTTTTGTGTCATTTTTGAAGCTTAAAAGTCAGTTTTGATGCTGTATGAAAAAAATGACGTCATACAGGTTTGAAACTAAGTAAATGACAGCAGATTATTTAAATGGATGAAATAACCCTTAAACTGACACTTAACTCTAGGCTTGCTACTAAAAAGCATGTGATGTAAGTCTTTATCTTCACAGATTAGATACTTCTTTTCAACGTCTATCATGGACAAAGACAAGCGACAGAAAGGTGAATGTGATTATGTACAGAAGATCATATTAGTGTGGATTACAGTCACATTTATCTCCTGAAACACGTCTGTTTGTGTTCATTAGTGAACTATTTCATATCTTAGTGAAGTAACACAAAGCTTAAAATTATTAGTGGGAATTATTAATACAATTAGAAATGAAAATCAAGCAAATTGATTTAAAATTGTTTTCAACATTGAAAATAATCATAAATGTTTCTTGAGCAGCAAATCATCATATGTGACCCTGGACCACAAAAAAAAGTCATAAGCGTCAATTCAACCTTTCAAAATTTTAAATTGATATACATCACCTGAAAGTTGAATAAATAAGCTTTTCATTGATGAATATGTGACCCTGGACCACAAAACCAGACATAAGGGTCAATCTTTCGAAATTGACATTTGTACATCATCTGAAATAAATAAGCTTTCCATTGATTATTATGGTTTATTAGGATAGGACAATATTTGGCCGAGATACAACTATTTGAAAATCTGGAATCTGAGGGTGCAAAAAAATCAAAATATTGAGAAAATCGCCTTTAAACTTGTCCAAATGAAGTTCTTAGCAATGCATATTAATAATCAAAAATTACGTTTTGATATATTTATGGTAGGAAAGTTACAAAATATCCTCAGGGAACATAATCTTTACTTAATATCCTAATGGTTTTTGGCATAAAAGAAAAAAATTGATCATTTTGACCCATACAATGTATTGTTGGCTATTGCTACAAATATACCACAGCGACTTAAGACTGCTTTTGTGGTCCAGGGTCACATATTAGAATGATTTCTGAAATATCATGTGATACTGAAGACTTCAATGATGCTGAAAATGATGCAGGAATAAATTACATTTTATAATATATTCAAATAGAAAATAGTTATTTTAAATTCTAATAATA